GGAGCAGCCGCCGGGCGGGAGACCTCGGGTGAGCGCGGGGGGAGGCGGCGCGCCCGGGGGAGGGGGCCGGGGCGCCTCCGTGAAACGTGCTCGTGGAAAAGGCGCTGCCGGACTCGCGATCGGGGGTCCGCTCCACGCGCAGCGCATCTCCCTTCTGCCCTGCCCTGCCCTGCCCTGCCCTGCCCTGCCCTGCCCTGCCCTGCCCTGCCCTGCCCTGCCCTGCCCTGCCCTGCCCTGCCCTGCGCTCCTCCAGCGCGGCACCGCCTGGCTGGGAGCGGAGCTGGGCCGAAGGATAAAGGGCGCGATTGCGGGGGGGCTGCGTGGATTGATCCCCACTCGGACCGGGGCGGGGAGGGCGGCGTGGCTCGCTTCCAGCGACGTTTCACTTTGAGAGTTTGGAAACAGAGAGCCCTGCTATACGGGTGTGTGTGTGCGTGTGTGTGTATATGTATTATATACACAGATACAGGGTATACCAAAAGTCAGACAAATGTATACATGTAGTGTAGTGTAGTGTAGTATAGTGAGTTCTATCTATAGGGTGTGTGTGTGTATTATACACAAACACATATACAGGGTGTACCAAGTCAGGCAAATATATACTGTGTGTGTATATATATATATACACATACGTGTGTGCGTGCATGTGTATGTGTTATACACTCAAACACAAACATACCAGGTGTACCAAAAGTCAGGCAAATCTATCTATCTATCTATCTATCTATCTATCTATCTATCTATCTATCTATCTATCTATGTGAGTGTGTGTATTATGCAGGTAGATGCACACAGAAACCAAGTATACACCCCCCCACACACACATACATAATATTTTTATTTAATGGCAGTCTAAGACTGTGAAATTCCGTTCAAAGGAGAATATAAATATCCAGGTGGCAATTTCCCTTCTCCTTGCTTCCCTCTGATCGGTGTAGCTGGAAGACTCTGCCCTCTTCCCACACGGTGTGGAAACTGCCAAGTCAACTGCCTTCCTTGGCCAGCAAAGACCAAAACCGTGGGAATTATTTTACAGCGCCCCCGTGCAAGATGGATGCTTAGTTTCTGAAGTTGCAGCTCGGTGTTTCCCCGAGAGGGATAGGTAAAAAAAGAAGATCTGGTTCGGCTGTGCCACACAACAGGGCTTGCTCAGTTGTGGCTTAACATGACGCATGAATCCAGGCTGTAAACCACAATTGGTGGCTTAGTGTGTCACATGAACTGAGTGATTGTAGCTTAGTCAACAGACCATGGTGTGCAAACCCAGTTGCCTGCATAGAGACAAATGCACTGTTGTTGATTAAGATGTCTTCTTTATCAGTCCCTGGGGTAGCTCTGGGTGAATTCAGCTTCCAGTTAAACCTTGTTGAAGGCTGTTTGTTCACCGGGCAGAGGCTCCAAAGCCAATGGACTCTGTCAAGATTTCGCCTCTTGGCACTCTTGCTTTCTGCCTTGGGGGCCACTCTTGGGGGCCAAGGGACGCACCGAACACTTGGGGGGCAATGAAGGCTACACCCCGTAATAGGGCAGGGCTGGGTTTTAAATTGGGGGTACGGCTAATTTTTTATGCCAGCTGCAAGGGCTTGTTTCAGGCCTTACAGTTTAGTTTTCAGGTGTTTCCCACCCAGGGGTGTCTGCAGGAGGGTCAAAAGAGTCAAGATGGCAGCTACAACCATCACAAAATGTGTTCAGTGGCACCTTGACTTTTGATTGTGAGCTGCCCCATACAAGTTCAATCTGTTGTTCCTCCTCTTCCTCCTTTCCACCCACCTTTCCTGTTCCCACCTCAAAATGCTAGGGCTCCTGGTTTTCCTCAACCATGTTCAGAAGAATTTGAGGGCTGCACAAAGGGGACTTGAGGACGACATGCAGACTTGGGGTTGCCGATCGCTGCCCCCCATCACCAAGGTTTCTTTGCAACAAAAACCGCCTCACCTTTTCTTCTTTTGCAGCAACACCACTGCCTAGCAACCTTACTCCATTTCAGAAACAGTCTGATCAGCAGGCTCTGGGGAAGCCCTCCTTCCTCCATCGCTCTTGCAGGTTGCAGGACGGCGCTGCGGTGCCTGTTCCCCCACCCCCCCACCACTACACAGGGGAGATGGAGCCAACTCCAGCAGCAGTGCTGTCTCAGGTATGGTTTGGGGTCCAGGTCTTGGGAGGATAAGTAGAAATGGTTGGGAGGTTGCTGCAATTTTGGCAAGGCTGCCAAGGTTGGGCTGCATGGACAGAGTCAGCCATGAGGTGTCAGGAAAGAGAAACCAGAACAAATATTTTTTTTAAGATATTGCTGCCACCTAGTGACCACCTGTACAATTGCACTCTGTCTGAATATTTGTTGGGAGAAAAAGTGGAAATGTAGCTCAGTATAATTCAAGGGGAAGGCAGGGTCAACTGCAACCTTGGGATGGCCTAGGCCACACCTAATTTTGGGAGGTGCTGTGGACTGCTGGGTGGGGAGGCAGAAGGGGGTAGGGCTTGTGGTATTAATGTTTGGGAACTCTTTGCTTTTTCAATGCTCCTGTTCATATTTAAAGGTGTGTATTCCAGTTTTCAGCTATTTACAGTCTCTAATGGTTAGGAATCCCTGCCTTCCAAATTCAACAGTTATGGTCAGACCTGCAGAATGTAGGGCCTGGGGCCTAGTTGTCATAGGCGGCCTCCCCGTGTGCCCCCAGGGGCTTTCTTGCAGGTAGTAAAACAGTGAATTAGAACTCTCTGTTTCCCTCCTAGTCAAAGACAGCCCAGCCACAATCTTCTTAGGCTGATCATAACATCCTAGAAGCATATTTCCTCTTGCCCAATGTTTCTCAAACTTGGCAACTTTAAGCTGCGTGGACTTCAATTCCTAGAATTCCCCAGCCAGCACAGCTTAAAGTTGCCAAGTTTGAGAAACACTGTTCTTGCCTGTCATCTAGCGATTGCATTGTTTCTTCAGGCATGCGTTCGTGTGGCTCATAGAAGCCAGACACCGGCTTGTCACATTGAGCTCAGCCAGGTCTCAACCTCAAATTGACACACAGCCCTCATGAGGACTAGTTCCTTAGCCCGGAGGCCACCACGCTGAAGGCTTTTCACACATGGGTGCAGTGTGTTGCAACCCAGACAACTGACTGACTGACTGCCAAAGATACTTTAATTAAGACATTGCTCTTAGTGTTTTTTATTCTCCTTTCTGCAAGCGTCGGATTAGGGAGTATGTATTGTTCTTGTTATTTCAGTTGTAGATAAGAGGCTCAGCAGTGAAAGTGATTATACCATAAGAAGAGACACGCCATGAGGCTTGTTAGATAACTCTAAGGGAAGTTATCTTATACATCCAGAGAGAGAAAAAATGAATCAGACCACTATAATATTTTCTTGCCATTTTTTTCTGTGCTGACATGCTACAGGGCTGCATAAAATAATCTTGCAAGCCGCACATGGAGTTTGAGGCTCCTGAGTTAAACCATGGTTTTCTTCACTATTGTTGTCAGCCCTTCAAGGTAGACCAGACTACAAAGCCGGAGTTATGAATGCTAATATTACTTTTATTATAAAGTTACGGTAACAGTATGAATACGCTTCCCCCCTCCTTCCCCCCCTCCATCTTCAGGGAGGGGCTTCTCTGAGGTGCTTCCTCAGATTACATTTGTGTCCTGGACTCAGATCTCATTTATCTAACCATTGCCTTGGTTGCGTCCCTTCCTCCTGTTCCTCAAGGTTATTCCTACTTGCCATTGCATCTGTTTATTGATTAATAAACTGGGATTGCACAACAGAGCAAGCCCTGAACAAGGCTTTACAGATCTTGCTGGCTGGATTCACACACCTCAGTAAGTTATAATATGGTGGGGTTGGTTTTGGCTTAGCATGTTGTATGAACCCAGCCATAGTGATTTGGAACCCAAAGTGTATGGCTTAGAGCAGTGTTTTTCAACTTGGCAACTTTTAAGATGTGTGGACTTCAACTCCCAGAATTCCCCAGCCAGGATTCCCAGAATTCCCCAGCCAG